TAGTGGAGTTCTACCGGGACCCCCAGCTGGAAGGCAGCCTGTCCAGGGCGAAGGCCCAGCTGGAGGACGAGGGCAAGCGGCGGGCCAGCCTGCAGGCAGACCTGGAAGCGGCAGCCCAGAAGGTCGTGCAGCTAGAGAGCAAGAGGAAGACCATGCAGCCTCATCTGCTGACCAAGGAGGTCACCCAGGTGGAGAGGGACCCCGGCCTGGACAGCCAGGCGGCCCAGCTCAGGGTCCAGATCCAGCAGCTCCTCAGGGAGGATGCTGTCGTCTCAGCCCGACTGGAAGGGCTGAAGAAGGAGCTACTGGCCCTTGAGAAGAGGGAGGCGGACGTGAAGGAGAAGGTCGTGGTGAAAGAGGTGGTCAAGGTGGAGAAGGATCTGGAAATGCTCAAGGCAGCCCAGACTCTGAGGCTGCAGCTTGAGGAGGGTGCTGCACGGAGGAAGCGGGTGGAGGAGGCTGTGGCCAAGCTACGGGCACACATCCAAGACCTGGAGCGGGCTATCAGCGCGGTGGAGCCCAAGGTCATCGTGAAGGAGGTGAAGAAGGTGGAGCAGGACCCAGGCCTCCTCCAGGAGTCCTCCAGGCTGAGGAGCCTCCTCGAGGAGGAGAGGGGCAAGAACGCAACGCTGGCCAGGGAGCTGAGTGACCTGCGCGGCAAGTACAGCATGGTGGAGAAGCAGAGGCCCAAGGTGCAGCTCCAGGAGCACGTCCGCGAGGTCTTCCAGGTGGATCCGGAAACAGAGCAGGAGATCACCCGGCTCAGGGCCAAGCTGCAGGAGACAGCGGGCAAGAGGAACAGTGTGGAGAGGGAGGTGGAGAAGCTGCTGCCTGACCTGGAGGTCCTGCGGGCCCAGAAGCCGACGGTGGAGTATAAGGAGGTGACCCAGGAGGTGGTACGGCACGAGAGGAGCCCCGAGGTGCTGCGCGAGATCGACCGGCTCAAGGCTCAGCTCAACGAGCTGGTCAACAGCCACGGGCGCTCCCAGGAGCAGCTCATCCGCCTGCAGGGCGAGCGCGACGAGTGGAGGCGTGAGCGGGCCAAGGTGGAGACAAAGACGGTGAGCAAGGAGGTGGTGCGCCACGAGAAGGATCCAGTGCTGGAGAAGGAGGCAGAGCGGCTCCGCCAGGAGGTGCGGGAGGCGGCCCAGAAGAGGCGGCTGGCAGAGGACGTGGTGTACGAGCTGCAGAGCAAGCGGCTGCTGCTGGAGAGGAGGAAGCCCGAGGAGAAGGTGGTGGTGCAGGAGGTCGTGGTCACCCAGAAGGACCCCAAGCTGCGAGAGGAGCACAGCCGGCTGAGCCGGAGCCTGGATGAGGAGGTGGGCCGGCGGCGGCAGCTGGAGCTTGAGGTGCAGCAGCTGCAGGCAGGCGTGGAGGAGCAGGAGGGCCTGCTCAGCTTCCAGGAGGACCGCAGCAAGAAGCTGGCTGTGGAGAGGGAGCTGCGGCAGCTGACCTTGAGGATCCAGGAGCTTGAGAAGCGGCCTCCCGTGGTGCAGGAGAAGATCATCATGGAGGAAGTGGTCAAGCTGGAGAAGGACCCGGACCTGGAGAAGTCCACAGACGCCCTGCGGCGGGACCTGGACCAGGAGAAGGCCCAGGTGAAGGAGCTGCATCGGGAGTGCAAGAACCTTCAGGTCCAGATCGACGTCCTCCAGAAAGCCAAATCGCAGGAGAAGACCATCTACAAGGAAGTGATCCGGGTGCAGAAGGACCGAGTGCTGGAGGATGAGCGGGCCCGCGTGTGGGAGATGCTCAACCGCGAGCGCACAGCCCGGCAGGCCCGGGAGGAGGAGGCACGGCGCCTGCGGGAGCGCATTGACCGGGCGGAGGCTCTGGAGAGGACCTGGTCCCGGGAGGAGGCTGAGCTGCAGAGGGCCCGGGACCAGGCGGACCAGGAGCGTGGGCGGCTGCAGCAGGAGCTGCGGGCTCTGGAGAGGCAGAAGCAGCAGCAGACGCTGCAACTGCAGGAGGAGTCGAAACTGCTCAGCCAGAAGACAGAGAGCGAGCGGCAGAAGGCAGCCCAGCGGGGCCAGGAGCTCTCACGGCTTGAGGCGGCCATCCTCCAAGAAAAAGACCAGATCTATGATAAGGAGCGGACCCTCCGGGACCTCCATGCCAAGGTGAGCCGGGAGGAGCTCAGCCAGGAGACCCAGACACGGGAGACCAACCTTTCCACCAAGATCTCCATCCTGGAACCCGAGACGGGGAAGGACATGTCCCCGTACGAAGCCTACAAGAGCGGCATCATCGACAGGAGCCAGTACCTGCAGCTGCAGGAGCTCGAGTGCGACTGGGAGGAGGTCACCACCTCGGGGCCCTGTGGGGAGGAGTCTGTGCTCCTGGACCGCAAGAGCGGGAAGCAGTACTCCATTGAGGCCGCGCTCCGCTGCCGGCGGATCTCCAAGGAGGAGTACCACCTGTACAAGGACGGCCACCTGCCCATCTCCGAGTTCGCGCTGCTTGTCGCTGGAGAGACCAAGCCGAGCTCCTCGCTCTCCATCGGCTCTATCATCTCCAAGTCCCCACTCGCCTCCCCGGCCCCCCAGAGTGCCAGTTTCTTCTCTCCCAGCTTCTCTCTTGGGCTCAGTGATGACAGCTTCCCCATCGCTGGGATCTACGACACAACTACCGACAACAAGTGCAGCATCAAGACGGCCATGGCCAAGAACATGCTGGACCCCATCACCGGGCAGAAGCTGCTGGAGGCCCAGGCGGCCACAGGGGGCATCGTGGACCTGCTCAGCCGCGAGCGCTACTCTGTGCACAAGGCCATGGAGAGGGGCTTGATCGAGAACACCTCCACGCAGAGGTTGCTCAATGCTCAGAAGGCCTTCACCGGTATCGAGGACCCCGTCACCAAGAAGAGGCTGTCGGTGGGCGAGGCTGTCCAGAAGGGCTGGATGCCCCGGGAGAGCGTGCTCCCACACCTGCAGGTGCAGCACCTGACCGGGGGGCTTATCGACCCCAAGAGGACAGGCCGCATCCCCATCCAGCAGGCCCTCCTCTCCGGGATGATCAGCGAAGAGCTGGCCCAGCTCCTGCAGGACGAGTCCAACTACGAGAAGGATTTGACAGACCCCATCTCCAAGGAACGGCTGAGCTACAAGGAGGCCATGGCCCGCTGCCGCAAGGACCCTCTGAGTGGCCTGCTGCTCCTTCCCGGGGCGCTGGAGGGATACCGCTGCTACCGCTTGGCCTCCTCCACTATCCCACGCTCCCTGTGCTGACACAGGCCAGGCAGCCGGTAGGTGAATGTGTGTGTTGGGGCGGCTAGGATACCCCTTGTCTCAGAGTAGCTTCATCCCAAGCAGTGGGTCTTCCCGTTGGCCACTGTTTATTATTATTTTACTACTGTGGTGTTGGGCTCCCTCCCCTGACCTTGGTGACCAACCCATCCCCAGACCACTACAGCAGCAGCTCAGTCCTTCCTCCCTCCGTGTCTACCCAGTGATCCCAATAAACGAATTCTCCCTGTGCCATGTGGTGTCCCGTTCATTCATGTTTTGGAGCGCAGGAGCCACACATCTGGGGGATGAGTACAAGGACATTGTTGCTCAAGTCCTTTCCGGGAGGACGTGCCCAACCCGCCTGTCTAGGAAATGGGCATCCTCAGGAGCCTGTGCCTCTTTGGGTATTGGGCAGGAATGTGATGGCAGGTCACAGAAAGAGATGATGGTTTAAAATCACTCGAGGCCAGGTTACGTGGCTCATGCTTATAATCCCAGCACTTTGGGAGGCTGAGGTGGGCGGATCACGAGGTCAGAAGTTTGAGACCAGTCTGACCAATATGGTGAAACCCAATCTCTACTAACAATACAAAAATTAGCCAGTCGTGATGGCGTGCACCTGTTATCCCAACTACTTGGGAGGCTGAGGCAGGAGAATCGTTTGAACCTGGGAGGCAGAGGTTGAAGTGAGCCAAGATGATGCCACTGCACTCTAGCCTGGGCAACAGAGCGAGACTCCATCTCAAAAAAAAAAAAAACAAATCACTAAAGGAGGTCAATTGGGTTCTTTGTAACTCAGAGAAAGGATAAATGCTTGAGGGAATGGATACCCCATTTACCCTGATGTGATTATGACGCACTGGATGCCTGTATCAAAATATCTCATGCATCCCATAAATGCATACACCTACTATGTACCCACACAAGTTAAAAATTGAAAAGGGATCATGGGGCTGGGCTTGGTGGCTCACACCTGTAATCCTAGCACTTCGAGAGGTGGGCGGTGGGGGGGTGCAGATCACCTGAGGTCCGCCTGGCCAACATGGTGAAACGCTGTCTTTACTAAAAATACAAAAAAAATAGCCGGGCTTGGTGGCATACGCCTATAATTCCAGCTACTTGGGAGGCTGAGGCAGGAGAATTGCTTGAACCCTGGAGGCAATGGAGGTCGCAGTTATAGCTGAGATTGCCTATAATCCCAGCTACTCAGGAAACAGGCAGGAGAATTGCTTGAACCCAGGAGGTGGAGGTTGTGGATGGAGATTGTGCCACTGCACTCCAGCCTGGGTGACAGAGCAATTCTGTCTCAAAAAAAAAAAAAAAAAAAAAAAGGCCAGGTGCAGTGGCTCAAGCCTGTAATCCCAGCAGTTTGGGAGGCAAAGGTGGGTGGATCACAAGGTCAGGACATTGAGACCATCCTGGCCAATATGGTGAAACCCCATTTCTACTAAACATACCAATATTAGCTGGGCGTGGTGGCACATGCCTGTGATCCCAGTTCCTCAGGAGGCTGATGCAGCAGAATCGCTTGGAAGGGGAGGCAGAGGTTGCAGTAAGCCGAGACTGTGCCACTGCACTGCAGCCTGGCAACAGGGAGTGACTCCGTCTCAAAAAAAAAAAAAAAAAAGATCATGAAAGAGCCCCTGCCTCCCCACCCACCCCATGCCCACTTCCCCACTGTCTCAGTTTGGGTCAGGGTTGTCTCCAGTCCTATTTCAATGTCCCCCTTGTCAGGAAGCCCAGGTGTCCCCCGTGAGCGGTACAACCAGAAAACTCAGGAACATTATCACGTTTATTTCTTGTCAAGCCAGAAACGAACCAAGATAAGCACATCTTGGGTGAAGGAACAACTCCTTAGTGCAGCCGCAGCCCAGCTCTCCTGGGATCGGGGGCATGTCCTCTTCTCCTGTCCCTCACTCCCTCCTGTTTAACTTGGGACTCTGAAATGAAACTCAACTCTTCCCCCAAACATTTTAAATCCAAAAAGACCAGCAGGGGGCACCCTTTCCTCAGGGTCTGGCCCTGCCCAGACCAGGCAGGCCCCCTGCCTTCAACTTGGCACCCGTTGTTCCAGTGCCCGGGGACCTCCGTGCATGGAGCATCTGTGCCTCTATTTTGAAATGACTCTGTCAAACCCAAAAAACAACACGGGATCTCGCTAACCTGCGGGCAGGACTAACCCAGACTCAGCCCTCTGCAGGTTGATGCCAATTCCCTAACGCTTTGCTTTCCCCAGATGCGTCCTCTCTCGGGAATGGGTGGGAGGCAGCTGGGGCAGCAGCCGCTCGAGAGAGGATCTGAGTGTGGCCTTGAGGTTCTCAATGGCAGAATCGCTGCACCACATACTGGCGCGCGGCCGGGGAGGGCTCCGGGGACGAGAAGTACCGGTGGGCCAGGGCGGTCTTGGCTGTGATCCGCCGGCTGGGGTCATACTGCAGGAGTTGCTGGGAAGGAAGGAGGAGAAGGAAGATGGGGTCTGAACGTAGCCAGGGTGGGGGGAGGAGTTCCCCTCCCAGGTCCCAGATCACGGGCCTGAGCCCCAAAACGGCTGCCCTCAAACCTAGAACCGCATGAAACCACAACCTCCCGGCTCTCCAGCCAGTTCCGGACACTCATGGAATCTGGACAGTCCTAATGAGTCACCCAGGTCTCCTCAGGCCACTGAAGCTGAGTCACCCTACTCCTTGGGGAGGGTCCCAGGTCCCAGCCTGCTTCTAGTCGGGAAGATCCCTGACGTATCAGGAAGCAGGGGACTGAAGCTGTCCAGGGAGCAACCCTGGGCGGGGGGCATAGGAACTCACACTCTAAGAAGCCAGACCTGTCCAGCCCTCTACCTTAGAGTCTCTAAACCCAGGCAGGATGTGGAAGGACCCCTGTTGTGGAACAGCCTGGATGGAGGGCTCGGAGCCTTGGCTGGAGTCCGTGCCATCCTGCTGCCACTGGGCGGGTAGACAACACACAGAGACTTCTGGAGAGCTGGGCACAGGACCTGAAGATGAAAATACTGACCCGCCTTCCTCTCACTCAATACCGGATTAAGGACAGAAATGTGGCTCCAAGACTTTCAAGAATGGAGGGTGGGATGGGTGAAGTGGCTCACACCTGTAATCCCCCAGCACTTTGAGAGGCCGAGACAAGAGGATCGCTTGAGCCCAGGAGTTCAAGACCAGTCTGGGCAACATAGAGAACCTTTTTTTTTTTTTTTTTTTTTTTTTGAAACAGTGTCTCACTCTGTAGACTAGGCTGGAGAGCAGTGGTGTGATCTCAGCTCACTGCAACCTCCGTCTCCCAGGTCCTGGCTCAAGCAATTCTCCTGCCTCAGCCTCCAGAGTAGCTGGGATTACAGGCACACACCACCATGCCCAGCTAATTTTTCTATTTTTTTTTTTTTTTTTAGTAGAGATGGGGTTTCACCATCTTGGCCAGGCTGGTCTTGAACTCCTGACCTCATGATCCACCCGCCTCAGCCTCCCAAAGTGCTGGGATTACAGGCGTGAGCCACCACACCTGGATGTGAGATCCCAGTTCTACAAAAAAATACAAAAATTAGCTGGGCATGGTGGCACATGCCTATAGTCCCAGATACCCAGGAAGCTGAGGCAGGAGGATTGAGCCCAGGAGTTTGAGACCAGCCTGGGCAATGTGGTGAAATGCTGTCTCTACAAAAAAAAAAAATACAAAAATTACCCAGGCACAGTGGCATGCACCTGTGCTCCCAGCTACTCAGAAGGCTGAGATGGGAGGATCGCTTGTGGCTTGGAGGTCAAGGCTGCGAGTCACATCACTGCAATCCAGCCTTGGTAACTGAGTGAGACCCCCTGTCTCAAAAAGAAAAAAAGAACAGACGGCTCTGCCAGTTGCTTCCTGGACTGTCCAGCCTGGGCCAGCTCAAGGCCAACAGGAGGGATGAGAGGACCATGGCATGGGCCCATGCAGCAAGGAACAGCCTGTTCTGAAGACTGACCACCATAGGAGTCACAGGGGAAACACCCAGGCAGTAGGAGGTGTGGCCCCAGCTGGGCACAGTGGCTCGTGCCTCTAATCCCAGCACTCTGGGTGGAAGATCACCTGAGGTCAGGAGTTCAAGACCAGCCTGGCCAATATTGTGAAACCCCGTCTCTACCTTAAAACAAAACAAAAAAAATTTAGCTGGGCGTGGTGGCAGGCACCTGTAGTCCCAGCCACCCAGGAGGCTGAGGCAGGAGAATTGCTTGAACCCAGGAGGCAGAGGTTGCAATGGGCTGAGATCACGCCATTGCACTCCAGCCTGGGTAACAAGAATGAAACCCTGTCTCAAAAAAAAAAAAAAAATTAGAAAATAAAAGAAAAGAAGGTATGGCCCCAGCCTGGGGAAGCATACAGCTTAGATGGAGCAATAATGTCCACAAAGAGGAATACCAAACACAGAAGGCAACTCGGGGAAAAGGGCGCATAGCTTGGCATAAAGACAGAGCTAACTCAGCGATCGCCGCTCTCACAGGGAAGATAAACACTGCACTTATCGTGAGGGAGGCTCCCAGGTCAATCAATCAGTATACTCAAGGACAAGGACGAGCCAGCTGTGTATCAGGAAAGAAAACCTGGCCTCAGGCTAAGAAAGTGCCATGGTTATGAAAGAGGCCGGCTGATGAGGACACACTCTAATTGGAGCAGCAGCCAGAGCCCACGTGCACCTACCATGAGCAGGTCCCTGCCTTCTGGCTCCAGATTGGGCACGATCTCTTCCAGCCCCTTCCTTGTCCACTTAGGGAAGTTGCCCTTATAGTCAGGCAGCTGTGTGACCCCGGGCCATACGGCTTCGCTGGGTGTCCCCAGCATACGAAAGATACGAAAGAGCTGGTCAATCTCAGAGTCACCAGGAAACAGGGCTTTTCGCGTCACCTGGAATGAGGAAGAAGAGAAGGTGTGGGGTCCGACACTGTCATACAGAATCTAATATGAGATAAGTGGCCAGACCCAGGGAGACGCCTGTCAAGATAGCTTTCCCACGGCTATGCATAGAATTCTGGCCTTTATTGGAATAAAGCTGGCCTCCTCAGATCTTCAGCCAGTACCAAACACCTTTTTTTAAAAAATAGAGACAGATTCTTGCTCTGTTGCCCAGGCTGGAATGCAGTGGCCTAATCATAACTCACTGCGGCCTCAACCACAGGCTCAAGCAATTCTCCTGCCTCAACCTCCTGAGTAGCTGGGACTACAAGCATGCACCATCACACCCAGCTAATTTTTTTTTCTTGCTTTTATTTCATTCCCAGACTTCCCAGGACAAGCCCCAGACTTTCTTTCTTTTTTTTTTAAGACGAAGCCTTGCTCTGTCACCCAGACTGGAGTGCAGTGGCACAATCTTGGCTCACTGTAACCTCCGCCTCCTGAGTTCAAGCAATTCTCCTGCCTCAGCCTCCAGAGTAGCTGGGATTACAGGTGCACAACACTGCACCCGGCAAAAAAAAAAAAATTTTTTTTTTGAGATGGAGTCTAGCTCTGTCACCCAGGCTGGAGTGCAATGGCACGCTCTCAGCTCGCTGCAACCTCCGCCTCCTGGGTTCAAGGCGACTCTCCTGCCTCAGCCTCCCTCCCTGGTAGCTGGAATTACAGGCATGCAGCACCACATCCAGCTAATTTTTGTATTTTTAGTAGAGACAGGATTTCACCATGTTGGTAAAGCTGGTCTCGAACTCCTGACCTCGTGATCTGCCCACCTCGGCCTCCCAAAGTGCTGAGCCACCACGCCCAGCCTAATTTTTTGTATTTTTAGTAGAGACGGGGTTTCACCATGTTGGCCAGGCTGGTCTTGAACTCCTGACCTCAGGTGATCCACTCGCCTCAGCCTCTCAAAGTGCTGGGATTACAGGCGTGAGCCACTGTGCCCAGCCCCAAACACTCTTTAATCCACCTCTCCTGTAAATCAGTGGGCCCCACCCAACCCCAGAAGGACCCCGTCGGTGGCACCCCGTGGCCATGTGTGCCCCTCTACCATCTCCGCAAAGATGCAACCAATGCTCCAGATATCCACAGCTGTGGTATAGAACTTGCTGCCCAGGAGAATCTCGGGGGCGCGATACCACAGCGTCACCACCTGCAGGGCAAGGAAACAGCAACATTCAGGGTGGCTGAGTGCATTGGTGACACTCCTCCTGCTGCCCCTCTCCTCTTTGTCTCACGATACCTCATGGGTATAGGTGCGCAGCGGCACCCCGAAGGCTCGAGCCAGGCCGAAGTCAGCCAGCTTGATGGCACCTAACTCATTAATGAGCAGATTCTGGGGCTTCAGGTCTCGGTGGATGACCCGATGTGCGTGGCAGAAACTCACCCCCTGCAGCAGCTGGAAGAGGTAACTCTGGAGAAATGAGTGTGAGGTGGAGCCAGCTGAGTGGAGGCGCTGAGAGGACAGGGATAGCGGGGACGGGGCGTCACCTCCCCTTCCCTGCCCTTCCCTCCCTACCTTGATGAGGTGCATGGGGAGCTCTGAGCCTGGGGTGGAGTCCATGTACTTCTTCAGGTCCTGGCTGAGGAACTCAAACACCAGATAAAGCTTCCTCTCATTGTGTACTACATCCAACAGCCTGGCAGGGAGATGGCAGTCAGGATGTCACCTTCGCCATCCCAGCTTCCCCACCTCCATCCCCAACCCACCTGACAATGTTGGGGTGCTTCAGCTCCTTGAGCAGGGAGATCTCCCTGATGGCAGTGCTTGGGACCCCCTCTGTCTCCCTGCAAGAAACAAGCCATGGGCACAGAGGCCGGGGCCAAGAAGGGCACTTCCAGCCAGGGGGATTGGCTTCCGTGTTCCTTATCCCTGTAGGATGGCCCGGGCCATGTGCTCCTTGGTTTGTCACCCACCAAGATCCACAGAGCAGGGCCCAGGCAAAGGCTGATCAGGAAGCAGTGAGCTGGGTGGGGGATGGGCAAGGGCTGCAGGCAGCACCCAGAGATGAGTGTGGACTCCCAGAAGGAGGAAACGGACCGGAGACTGCCCAGGCTGTGATGGTCCAGGGTGGGTAACTCGGGCTGTCCCAGCACTCACAGATCTAGCCTGATTTTCTTCAGGGCCACCAGCTGTCCTGTCTCCCTGTTCTTGGCCTTGTATACCACCCCGTAGGTGCCCTCTCCGATCTTCTCTACCTTCTGGAACACATCCATGGCAGCAGAGCTGTCCGGGAAACAGAAGGCGCCGAGCCATTTGCACCCCACGCCCAGTGCCCCCACTGCCCCTCCAGCCACCACATGACACCCTGCCCAGCCACACCCAGGCTGCCCGGCTCCCAAGGAATGTGGCCCAGCCACCCCCTTTAGTTGGCTGATCCTGCCTGGGAACCTGGCTGGGGGCCGGAGACCACCTCTCCCACAGCCCAGCCCAGCCTGGACCCCCAGGGGTTTGGGGGCCACCCCTCGCCCAGCCCGGCACACCCAGGACCCCCAGGCTTCTTGCCTGTGCCCGACCTCAGAGGGCAGGGCCCACACTCTCCCACCCAGGCCTCTGCCCAGCCCAGCCATAACCCCCAGGGAGTACGGGGGCCACCCCTCGCCCAGCCCAGCCCAGCCCCCCAGGCCGCTCACCCGTGCCCCGCCTCAGAGGGCAGGACCACCCTCTTCCACCCAGGCCCCCGCCCAGCCCAGCCAGGCCCAGGCTCTGGGGACAAACGGCGACCAGGAAGGGCTGCCCAGGGGCTGGGGCCACTGGGGACAGAGGTCAGGGGTCAGGAGAGCCCTGAAGCCACAGTCCTGCCCTGGGCTGCAAGGTCAGGGCCCAGGGCCTTGGCCCGGCCCGTGTGATGCCACTCAGCCTCCTCTGAGGGCAGAGGCTGGCCGGGGGCAACACCCCTGCGTCCTGGGCCACCCACCCAGGTCCCTGGGCCCCCAGCGCCCTCCCCGAAGGCCCCCGGCCCAGAATTCACCAGAAGCCCTGAGAGGCTGCAGCCCACGACCGGTTGTGGCTCCCCCTCCTGGCCCCCACCAGCGCTGCACCAGGTGCACACATCGAGGGCACGCCCCCTGGGCCTTTATTCACCAGGACCTTCTGGAACCCTCCACGGCCCCACACCAGGCACAGCCCCGGCACCCAAGCTTGGCCACCTGCAGTCTCCCAGGGTGGAGCTGTCGGATTTGGGGCCTGCATTCAGGGCTGTCATTGCTGAACCAATCCCGAAGTAGCGGAAGGGGCTGGATTCACCACCCGCCCCTGTTTTCGGGCTGCAAACAAGGCCGTCGCTGGAGGGGGTGTCTGTGCTCTCCGGCGTTCCTGCAGCTCCAGAGGGTTTGACCCCCGAAAGACGTGGGGGTGTTGCTGGGCTGCTGTTTCTACTGGCCGCCGCCCCGCTCCTGCTGGTACAGCCTCTGCTCCCGGATGGCTTGTTCCAGCAAGGGCAGGTTCATCCCCTCCACACAGGTCAGCACCCGCGCCTTCACCACGGAGCCCCCAGCTGCAAGACAAACACCAGGGCACGAGCGGTGACTGGCAGCCAGTCAACAACGTCCTCCAAGATGCATGCATGCCAGCTGTTCCCTCAACAGCTCTGTCCTGGCTTTTGGCAGCAAGCGGGGTGGACAAGAAAACGGCATCTGGGGCGAAGGCAACTGTGTACTTGGGCCTAGAACTGTGGGCCAGTCATGCACAGCAGGCCGGTGTCTGGAGCTCAGCTGGTGGCCAGAAAACTCTCTGGACTGACGGAAAGGCCCCCTTGGCACTTTGGGACACGCTGTCATCAGAAACCACAGGAAAAGAGACACCCATATTTTAAAAATCCCAGGGACTGAGCTCCAGGTAAGTTTGGCTTTACGGGAGCAGGTCACCGCACCCTGGATGAGAGGCTCAGGGGCTTCTCACAGATGCGATGGGGAACTGCTACATGATGGACAGGTCTGCCCATGTGCAGGTGGCACCAAACAGGAAAGACATCTGGGATTTGCCACTACAGACTTTTTTTTTTTTTGAGATGGAGTTTAGTTCTTGTTGCCCAGGCTGGAGTGCAATGGCCCAATCTCAGCTCACCACAACCTCCGCCTCTCGAGTTCTAGTGGTTATCCTGCCTCAGCCTCCTAAGTAGCTGGGATTACAGGTATGCACCACCACGCCTGACTAATTTTTGTATTTCTTATAGAGATGGGGTGTTGCCATGTTGCCCAGCTTGGTCTCAAACTCCTGGGCTCAAGCGATCTGCCTGCCTCAGCCACCCAACGTGCGGGGATTATAGGTATGAGCCACTGTGCCTAGTTGATGTTTGTTTTTTCCCCCAGTCATAGCTTGCAATAGAAAAAAAAAAAAAAAAAGTTAAAAAAATTTTTGCACTCATGTTCTCTCTGCTCTCTGCTCTCTGCTCACTTTAATGAATAGATTTCCAAGGCAGGCAGATCACCTGAGGTCAGGATGCGAGACCAGCCTGGCCAACATGGCAAAACCCCATCTCTACTAAAAATACAAAAATTAGCTGAGTATGGTGGTGCGTGCCTGTAATCCTAGCTACTCAGGAGGCCGAGGCAGGGGAATCACTTGAACCTGGGAGGCAGAGACTGCAGTGAGCCAAGATCACGCCACTGCACTCCAGCCTGGTGACAGAGTAAGACTCCACCTCAAAAAATAAAAAATAAGTCAATAAAAAGCAGTCAGAATGCAGTGGGGTGAGGCCTGGAGAGAGGAAGGGGTTATAGGGAACACGCACGTTCTTTTAGGAGGGTTGTCTGCAAAGGGAGGGAAGGTCATGGGCAGGCAGGGCAGACTCTAGTGTAGAAGATGACGTCTTAACACTGGGACTCTTATTTCCATTTAGAGGCTTGAGTGCCTTCCATGTCAAGAGGGAAGAACTGTGGTAACCTTTTAGGTAGGAGGGACCCACTTCCTCTTAGACTAGAGGAAGAAGCTAATGGTGGCCGTTTCAGTGTCTGATTGTAGGAGGCTGCCTGTGGCCTCAGTTCTAGCTGGGACATAAAGCAATCTGCCGGTTGGGACAGGGCAGGAGAGGAAGTGGCTTCCTACCAGGCAGGGGTGTGGTATCTGGGAAGGGCGCGTGGCCAGAACACAAGAAGAATTTCTAGGCAGTGCAGGGGGACCCCAGTGAGCCCCTGAAATCACTGTGCTCCAAGTCCTCAGAGCTCTCTGCACTCAACGGGTGCCAGGACCAGGAGGGTGGAGGCTGGGGTCTCGGAGCGGGAGTGATGGAAAGCAAGGCCCAGAGGGGCAGAGAGGCGGGGGAAACCGCCCAGGAGTCCTGAGTCCACAGGTCCTGCCAGGGCAAGAAGGACGCAGCAGAAGGAGAAGTGAGAGTGGGCGGCGTGCACTGGGGCCCGGGACGGCAAGCTCAGGGAGACACGTCCAAGGCGTGGCGGCGGGCGTGGGAGGTGTAACTGGGCCAGAGGTGCATGGTGGTGGAACCAGCTGGCAGCAGGGAGACAGGGAGGGATGTGTGATGTGACATGCCTGAGAAGCCAGTGGAACTCAGGCCCACTCCAGACTGTGGGTGTGTGGTCTGGGGAGGAGGGTTTGGGCAAGTCCCAGAGCCGGCTGGTAAGGATGTTTGAAGAGGGAGGTGCACACGGGATGCCTGGAAGGTTTCCCCCCATCCCTCCCTTTCTCTTTTCTTTTTTCTTCCCTTTATTCTCTCTCTGTTTTTTTTTGTTGTTGTTGTTGTTGTTTGTCTTTTTGTTTTGTTTTGGCAAGCTCTTGCTCTGTCGCCCAGGCTACAGTGTAGTGGTACGATCTTGGCTCACTGCAACCTCCGCCTCCTGGGTTCAAGCAATTCTCCTGCCTCAGCTTCCCAAGTAGCTGGGATTACAGGCATGTGTTACCATGCCCAGCTAATTTTTGTACTTTAGTAGAGACGGGGGTTTCTGCATGTTGGTCAGGGTGGTCTCGAACTCCTGACCTCAGGTGATCCACCCACTTCAGCCTCCCAAAGTGCTGGGATTACAGGCATAAGCCACTATGCCCAGCCTGTTTTATTTTTGTTTTATTTTCATTTATTTACTTATTTATAGAAACAGCCTCTTGCTACATTTCCCAGGCTGGTCTTGAACTCCTGGGCTCAAGCAATCCTCCCTTCTCAAAGTGCTAGAATTACAGGTGTGAGCAACCACACCCGGACTTTTTTTTTTTCTCTTTTCTTTTTTTTGAGATGAAGCTTTGCCCTTGTTGCCCAAGCTGGAGTGCAATGGCGCAATCTCGGCTCACTGTAACCTCTGCTTTCTGCATTCAAGCAATTCTTCTGCCTCAGCCTCCTGAGTAGCTGGGATTACAGGCATGTGCCACCATATCTGGCTAATCTTTGTATTTTTAGTAGAGACAGAGTTTCATCATGTTGGCCAGGCTGGTCTTGAACTCCTGACCTCAGATTATCTGCCCACCTTGGCCTCCCAAAGTGCTGGGCTTACAGACATGAGCCACCAAACCCAGCCTTTTTTTTTTTTTTTTCCAGACAGAGTCTTGCTCTGTTGCTCAGGCTAGAGTGTAGTGGTATGATCTCGGCTCACTGCTACCTCCACTTCCCAAGTTCAAGCAATTATCCTGCCTCAGCCTCACTGAGCTGGGACTACAGGCACCCACCACTATGCCCGGCTGATTTTTATATTTTTAGTAGAGACAGGGTTTCACCATATTGGCCAGGCTGGTCTGGAACTCTTGACTTTGTGATCTGCCTGCCTCAGCCTCCCAAAGTGCTAGAATTACAGGTATGAGCCACTGCACCTGGCCTTTCTCCCTCTCTCTCTCTTTTTTTTTAAAAATAGGGTCTCACTCTGTCACCCAGGCTGGAGTACAGTAGTGCAATCTCGGCTCACTGTAACCTTGAACTCCTGGGCTCAAGCAATCCTCCCATCTCAGCCTCTCAAGTAACTGAGACTACAAGTATGTACCACCACACCTGGCTAATTTTTTAATTTTTGTAAAGATGGGGTCTCACTATGTTGCCCAGGCTGGTCTCAAACTCCTGGCCTCAAGCAATCCTCCCTCCTTGGCATCCCAAAGTGCTAAGATTACAGGTCTGAGCCACCACACTTGGCCTTCACAGGGAGGTTTAACGTAGCCACAGGATGCCCCCTCTGCCCAGGCCAGAGGTCAGGGAGGCTGGAGCACAGTCAGCCTGATGCTCTCCTCCCTCCTCCTCATCTTTGATTCCCAGTCCCCACCATGAATGACAAGCATGTTTGACTTAGAAAATCAAGACAGGCTGGGCACAGTGGCTCACATCTGTAATCCCAGCACTTTGGGAAGCCAAGGTGGGTGGATCATAAGGTCAGGAGCTCAAGACCTGCCTGGCCAAGATAGTGAAACCCCATCCCTGCTAAGAACACAAAAATTAGCTGGGTCTGGTGGCAGGCGCCTATAATCCCAGCTACTCAGGAGGCTGAGGCAGGAGAATTGCTTGAACCCAGGGGGCGGAGGTTGCAGTGAGCCGAGATCGCGCCATTGCACTCCAGCCTGGGCGATAGAGTAAGATGCCATCTCATTAAAACAAAAAGAAAGAAAAAAAAAAAGAAAATTAAGACAAAAATATTTTAAGGGAAAAAAAAAAAACACACAAAAAACAGGTTGTGATG